GAACAATTTATAAACTTATTCTTAAAGGAGAACATTTTCAAACACCACACTCTCGAAGGAGAATAAATAGCCAATGCAACAGATGCTAACACGTAGTGATTTTGTGATGGTAAAGAATATAAACAAAATACATAGCTTCCGTATCTAAAACTTTGTAGTTTAAAAGACCATCTGACAAACTGTACAAGATTCTATAACATGGTTTTCTAGTAACATTAAAATACTCTTGTAAATCTATACATCCACGCAAATCTAGGTACTTAGGCTGGATTATCTCATTTGCAACAACAGAAGAGAAGTAATACTAAGCAGACAACTCACTCAGTACAACGCCACGTTTCAGTGCCATCAATTTTACGCGTATGAAGGCGATAACGATACTTTTTATACAATAACGACTTATGACCGTCTTACTAGCATCTTCAGTAGCAAATGGTAATGGCATTTTTTGTTTCTCGGTAATGCTTTGCAAAGTTCATCGCTTTTATATGGCTGAACGTTCATATTGATCGCTTTGGTATTCTTTAATCTTTTGAACTGTCTTATGGTGGTCTAAACAGTCTCTTCGGCATTATTCTTTCTCTAGTTCAGAGCTCTAAGAAGCTTCTTAACTAGCTTATGCTTTAAACTGTTCTCACTTGAGAAATTATTAAGAAAATGTGCTCATTTGAGAGGTCACCAAAAAAACAGCTCGATTTTATAATCCATAGATAAAAAAAAGGAAAAGATTAACTTTACTAGTGATAATACATAACTAGACAGTGTTAAAATGCCACAGTATTTGTTTGTTAAGATATCTTATTGAGCATCGAGTACAGTCCTGCAGGAAAAACTTTTCTGTTGCCCCAAGCCAGAACATAAAAATGTTGTCCCGAATCCGTCTGTTCCGTGAAAAAAATTTACGGATTTTTCTGTCCCATAATTGTTTGAAAATGTTTTTCTGTTATGATATAGTTAGTGTAACTCTTACAATAGACGCTTCAAGTCTCAAACTTATTTTTGCAAAAATCCGCATGACATAATTTAAGCCTGATTTATTTGATTCTAAACTTAAAAGTTTCTGTAGAAAAAAATATTTTACATCCACTCACTACCTCAGAATCGAAAGGAAAGAACTGTAAATCTAGTTTTAGATATGAAACATTACACGCATGGTTTTATCATTATTATTAAATATCGGCAATAGGTAAAATGATCTTTCTGTATCTGAACATTCAGTAGAGGCTTTTTTATTGTTAATTCGAATGTCCAGATCATTTTCCCCAGTCCGATGCCTTATTTTGTCTAATAATAATTCAAGGAGGAGAAAAAATGTAATAATCGGTTATCATGGACTCCAGCACTCCAAAAGGATTGTCAACAGTGAAATTTTCACTTTTGACAATTGATAGAAAAATCTTCAGGCTATTCAAAACATTATTCAGATTGGTTCCAGCTTTTACTAAAAGGTCAAAAACAAGGGAGTTCTTGTGATTATGACACACGGTACTGCTTAGATAGCACCCAAAAGTTTCTTTTCAATATCTTTAATGACAGGCCCCACCTGTGTGTATATTGTGACCAGCTCACTTTGTAGTGAATTTCAAGGGCTATCCAGTGGCATGTTTTGGAACAATACAAAATTCCATTATGGCAGAAAAACGACTAACGGAGTGTTGAAAGCACTAAGATAGGTCAAAATCATTATATCGGACAAGTATTTCACTATTGACCCATGTGGGTATATTTCTGAAAGACTTATTTATCGCTCATTTTGAAGCTCGTGAAATTCTCTATTGAATGGTATATCTATTGTAGTGGTTAGTTGAGAAACGTTGATCACAGGATCCTCATCGTGGAATAAGTCACCCACTTTTCACGGCTTTCCAGACAGTATTTCTAATGTCAAGGGGTCCCAGGACACTTTTTTGACTATCATATATATATGAACTTGTAGTGCGAGAAATTCTCTATCGAATGGTATATGTATCGTCGTGGCTAGTGGACAAGTGTGGAGCACAGGATCGTCATCGCTGAACAAAGAAGAGTAGAACTTTGGTTACGGTAAATTCGACCTAGTTTTTTCTGAGAGCAACTCTAAGGTCTGTCGGGTGGCTGGAAATGTTCTCCTGTTCATTCTGCATCTAACCATGTATGTGTCGATGGAATTCAAGCAGGGGTCGATTCCATCAAATAATCGCCGCCGTCCTTTAAGGCTTTTATATTAGTAAAATTTCATCTTTTTCAAAGCTTGTGAAGTTAAATGAAAATTTTTCTTCTTACATGTTTAGATACTCTAAGGTGTTCTCTACATAAACCTGCTCTCGGATTTATTCTAGCTACTTTAGTTCACGAAAAAAATTCAAAAAAAGAGTGATCCTAAACTTTTGTCCCCCGCTTTATATTTGAAACATTTTGTTCATTTTCATTTTTTGGTGATTATATATGGTTAGATGCGCAATAAAATTGTCTATCAAACCTGCTATTCAGCTTTTTGATACTTTCAAATTTTTAAATACGACACGGTCCATTCTGTCGCACATTCGAAAAAAATAATTTGAAACCCCTGAAGAACTTATTCAATTAGATTTCACTCAAAACACGTGACAACAACGAAAACTTCCATTACACCTATTTCAAAACAAAATTATTCATCTGTTACGTTAGTTCAGTTAGTATCATTTGGATACTCACTGAGTATCATTTTCTGGTTTATTCAAAGCATATTCCAGGTCAAGTGAATATTATTGCTGATTTATTATCTCGATTACAGCTAGGGGACTTATAATCTCATGTGAGTAAATGGTCAAACCTTTTAAAAAATTATTTTTCGAGAAACGATCATTTCAAACCAAAAACTATATATGATTAGATGCGCAATAAAATTCTCTATCAAACCTCCTATTCAGCTTTTCGATACTTTTAAATTTTTAATTCTGGCAGGGTCCATTCCGAATGGAAGACACTTATTGATGTCATCTTAATCTAAAATACCCTATGGGTTCAACCACAGTCTCATATTTCACATTAAATGAGTCTCATCAAATGATAAAATGCACTCATTCGCCTTGTGAATGGATGCAGATATTTGTGCAAAGTTGGAGATAAATTTTCTATACTATCCTATTTTTCCAATGAATATGTGACAGTGGAAATTAAAATTCAGTGAAATTTCAAATTCTACTAGTAGAAATTAAAATTTCAATCTTCACTGGATTCTTGTCAGTGGAAATTATAATTTGCCTGACAAGATACGGGCAGGAAAAGGAATACCCTTTCTTTATTGAAAATATTATTAACAATCACAAATATTTATATGAATAAAACCACATTAGTTTCGTCAATTTTTACCAATTTGAAATGCTTGTTTACCCAAAACTTGAATTGTGCAGTATCCCAACCGTCACGTATTGTCAAAATAACAACTAGGGGTGCTACTTTACTTTTACCAATTATTACATTATCCGGTAAAAGTAATAAACGTTTGTTACTTATTATCGGTAAAAAGATAATAAATCTTGTTGTTTTATTACTTATTACTTCTTTATGTAATAATGTTTCATCATTTTACTTATTCTTTTTTATTACTTTTCTTCTTATCAGTAATAAGTAAAGTAATAAAAGATTATTACTTGAAAAAAGTAATAAGTAATAAAGTAATACGATTATTACTTGTTTCCAGGTAATGACTAATACGTTTTATTACTTATTACTTGGTAAAGAACAGTAAAGTGACACCCCTAATAAACATATCTTGCTTGATTATATATTTATCACGAAATTTTTCATTTAATTTGAGTATGTGCGCATCGAGTTTTTCATAAAATATATCCATTATGACTTATAACTAACTTAGGTATACACCAGTTTTTAACTAGTGTTGGGACATCCGGGAGAATTGCTATACATCAGTTATCACGATTTACTCAGAGCTGTGAAACATCGGATTTTGTAGAAAAATGTATGACTTTAGTTGAGTCCATCAGGTATTTTAGATTGAGATGACATTACCATAATAATCACAATCCAATAAACTTCTCAATCATTAAAAGAATAAATTTTAGTTTCAAAATTGTTCATGTATAAAATCGTTTTTTTTAAACAGTAGTATGACATACAGAATTTGCTTAATAACGTGTCGAATATTGATAGAAGAAGAAATATTAATGCGTATTTGAATTGAACTGAATGTATTTCACTAAAGATGTTAGATAGTCACGAAACAGAAAATTTCGCTTACATAAGAGGCACTGTTACCGATAGTGAGAGAGAAAAATGAATACAATACAGCGAGAGAAAAAGAGAAAGAACAACAATAATCCTTATGAGTCACAAGAATAGCACGCAGAGTAAGATTGACGACGTACTGACAAATCTAGTGAATAGATGCAAAAACTGATCTCGCACACGGTGAAAAAAGTGTTCTTCAAGCTTACACAGAACAAAAAGTCTCAAAAGTCAAGGAAAGTGAGTTTTTCATTTGTCTTATGTAGAGATTGATCTTTTTTGTTTTGAGATCACAAAAGTTTATTCTCCGAGTGCACAGCACATTCCGATTTTGCAGAAATGCAAAAGGTCTCTCGCTGTATTACGAAGTTCCTATGCTTATGTACATTTAATACGCGCATCCTGTATCCGTGTATATATTTAGGGTTCAGCCAAGGTTAGATCAAGTCAGGTGGTGTGGAAATTGTAGTTCTTTTTATTTCTTTATGTACAGATACGTATACAAAGCAGTAGGAAATGCTGCCACTCTTGTGCTACGCTCCACCCCACCTTCCACGGCACGACTGGGGGCGTAGCGTGAGACAAACGGCATACACATACATTTGGATTTTCATATCAGCTGACTTGACCTAACCTTGGTTGAAGTCTAAATATATCGATAGTATACACAACATACACAAGATAAGTTGTCTGCATATTGAAATTTGACATCCAAAATTTGAATTTCTCTATTGTAATGTGCCATGCTATGTATTCTTCAAGCAGAGTATTTAAAGGCACACCTCCTGATAGATCTAATAAGTCGGAAAATTTCCATAATAGTTTGCGTTTGACAATGGACATACCTCTTGGGTTCCCCACCATGATGGAAAATTGATACTTTGATATTTTAAAATAAAGAATAGGAAAAAAACACTTGTTTGTACGCCAAAATCCATAGCGATAGTAAACAGCAGAGCATATCGATTCCACCACCACATACGAATCACCGTATGAAAAATAAAGCCTAATAACAGCCAACTTGGAAAGGTGTCTGCCGGTAAAAAACCAACCAGAGTCACTTGCATAAACATAATTGGTATGTGCACATATTTTAACCATTTCATTTTGGAATATCGCCATTGTATAATCCAGATGAGAATAGGTAGCAGAGCGCCAATCAAAATTATATAGAGCATATTAGCATACATTGAATCTTGACCAAACAGTTTTTTTGGATCTGAATATACTAGACAAAAGAAAAATATTATTTTATCTTACGGAGATATACTGTTTTCTATTTCAATTAAACGGAATCCATTCGTTACATTATATTATTAAAAGCACAAGCACTATTGTCCTTATATTTTAAGAATAAAGAAAGATGAAGAATGTATACCTAGTACTGCATAGAATGTTCCAGTGGTTAATAAGTTCGAACAAGACCAATCTTTATTTTCGTTACATAAATTAGGGATATGTTTAGATAAATAACTTGCCATTAAAAATCGAGAAATAGCCGCCACAATGGTCATCACAAGTTGTATGATGAATATGGAACGTGGTGATAACTTCATATAATGACCAAATTTAAGATAAACTGATAGACTCAATGCCTGATTAAATGTTCCGAATGCAAACGTAGCAAAGGTCGACGCACCAACAATATCTCCATGTTGTATGATACTACCAATTATAGCGACAAGAACAGTGGTATTCAAAGATAGATTCGTGATGCTTAAGAGAATACCGACGGGTAACAAACATGCAAATGATAAGGGTAAAGCGAGAAACAGTAAATACCATGGCATATATTGACCATACCGACAAATGACAGCAGCAACAATAAACGAGCCAAGAAACAGAATCAGATACCACCATTCGGGAGCTTCAGGATATCTAGACATTAACACACAATGAACATCATTTTGCCGATTTTTAAATGATGTTCTAAATTGTTTCCAAATATCTTTACCATGAAATACTATAGTATGTGTAATCAACGTAGGAAAGAAAGCAAACGTAAAGTAAATGCTCAACACATTTGAAACACTCATTCGAAAAGGTTCTGTAGTCCCGCTGATGTCTATCTTCGGCGAATAATATTTTCCATTTGGAAAAAACAAGCTTAAGCTTATTAACGGCATATTTTTGAAGTCCCACACATTCGTATAGTAAAGAATCGGTATTAGAAACCAAACAAAAAATACAAAACTCACAAGAACATTTATTTGTGCCCAACGTGGTACGAGGATTGGTGATGGTAAACCATATGTTAGTGATAACCAGTTAAATTGAAATGAGCCCATTCCGAGTCCATAATGTCCGGTTAATTGTGAAAGCAGACGATTGTTTGGATTGATCATGCACATCCACGAGAAGGTAGAAAGTACTGGCATTATGTAGCCCGGTAGCCAATAATAAATCATTTGACCAACAGAGAATAGAATAAAAAACTTAAGACGAGTCAATTTTAACCAACGATGGGTCAATGGTGGTTCTCGTTCATGGAGTGTACGAAGAAGTGCAATGTATGGCAATATAGTGGGCCATATCATTTCTGAAGGCCAAACTAAAAAGCGTCGCATAATACCTAAAGTGGTCCACATAATATTAAAAATATTGCATCATGAACAGTGTTCCAGATACTTACCAGCCATACCATAGCCTAATACCTGTGACGAAATAACAAGAAATAATCCTTCGACAAAATTTGATCTCGGGTTAATTCTATATTCGATTGCAACTACATCGATGGCCGAAACATTTATACTAGCAACATAGGCCATTAAAAATATGAGAGCATGTTCTTTGATAGTAAATGGTCCGGGATTCAACGAGAACGAACCTAGTGTTTTTCGTGGTAGACAAAGCTCCATTGTTTTACCCATGGGATATGCTAATAGAAGCACCAAGACATAATGAAATGTATATGTAACCGTTTTAAATATAAAATATTGGTTTAATGTTGCCAGTAGAAGATTGAATGATAAACCTAAGAATAGACTACGAAATGTAACACAGAGTGTATCTGGATCGTCTTTGTTTGACACAATGCCACCTGTCTCTTCGTATGATGCTTGTGCAGAATCAATGTATTCATTAACAACGTTGGCATCATCACTTGATATATTATCAGTAATTGCTATCTCATAAGAATCATTGTCATTTGGTATTCTATTCATTTTTCTGCTTTTTGCTTTTTCACTATGGCCTATATGCGTACGTGTTAATGATCAATGATAGCATCATTTTTACATTGAAAACAACATTGACATATATGTTTTTGTGATTACCTACCTGTACACAGAACAGTAGTTAGTGTGTCACCGTATTTTGATGATCAATGGAGATCAGCAAGAAAAAATGTCAGTTTGTTCTCAATATTTTGATAGATACATAATTTTTATACATATATATTATGCGTTCTTCTTTAACATAGTTTTTTAACATGGACAAGCCGATATTAATACTCCCTATCCTAAATATCGCCCTTCTCATCAGCTCATTTCGGTCATATGATAATAAAGACGAAAAGGCATCAACAAAAAAGAAAAAGAACAGCAAGAACAGTTGTATTGGAGTATCAACAATACATAAATTTATATTCTTAGCTATCAATAAAATATGTAACAGCAGAGTATTACTCTCCATCAAGGAAGGGTCCTTCACGTAAGTTCTGCTGTTCAAGAGTGGATGATGATCAGCCTGTTAAGTCAGTAGATGACCATTATTAAAAATCGGACTCTGTTTGCCTCTACTTTGTAGAAAAGAAAGTATTCAGACAGAATCTGTTAAGGGTAGGGTTGTATTCAGAAAAATGGTTCGGTGAGAAACTTTTATGTTTTCCCGAAATAAAAGGTTCCATCTGACAAATAAGATCCGATATTAAATCACTGTCTTTGCGTTAAATGTATTAAAAGTCTCTAATACTTCTTCGAAAATATTACTTTTCATACTATAAATGAAATATCGAAACACAAAACATCACAAAAACTTAGAATAAATATAAATACTCAATATTTAAAGAAATATTGAGAGGATGTGAACATTTTATTAGGTACTCTTGCAGGACGTGATGCGCCAAACTTCTCGCCGTACGACGACACGCTCCACAAGTTAGGCCTCTCAGTCAATGATAGTGGAGGCCAGAGTTAGTAAACATGGAAAGGAGAAAAAGAAAGAATGTAGAAGAGGCCGAGTCATATTAATACTCTCATTTGAAACCGCAGTAAACTAAATAAATACATATATGTATTTATTTAGTTTACTTCGGTTTAAAAAGTTTACTTCCTCTTGTCAGTGGAAATTTTAACTTCAACTAGTGGAGAATGAAATTTTAATCTCCACTATAGTGGAAATTATCATTTGCCTGACAAGATACGGACAGGAAAAGGAATACCCATTCTTTATTGAAAATATTATTAACAATCACAAATATTTATATGAATAAAACCACATTAGTTTCGCCAACTTTTACCAATTTGAAATGCTTGTTTACCCAAAACTTGAATTGTGCAGTACCTCAACCGTCACGTATTGTCAAAATAACAACATCGTACATATCTTGCTTGATTATATATTTATCACGAAATTTTTCATTTAATTTGAGTATGTGCGCATCGAGTTTTTCATAAAATATATCCATTATGACTTATAACTAACTTAGGTATACACCAGTTTTTAA